AAAGGCTAATGCAGCAATATCATTTTTAGCAACCCTACACAAACATAAATGTGGATTTATGGTGAAATTTTGGGGTTGAGGTGTTAAAGTCTAGAGACATGGTTTAACTTTAGAAGCTCACAGGTGGCAAGCAGTTCAATTCTTGAAATCAGTATCTTAAAGATGCTTCTTTTCTTGTGATGGTAGCTGTCCTGGATGCAGAAGGCCAGGTACAAGCTTTGCCTAGACGATGATTTACACTGATATGTCAAAGCATAACCTGTGTTCTGTATCCTCAAATCACTAAGTGTACCCAGTAAATGGCAATTCCTTTAGAACTGATTCTAAGCAATGTCTCACAGCCCCCTAAAATTAAGCAAATACTGCACTTTAATTTTATAACAAAGACTAAGTTTTTTCTATTAACCTTGCGGCTACAAAAAAAAATGCAGCAAGTGATATGAGAGGCCTAATGAGATTATAATCATTAGACTGCTTGCTGTATTACAGTCATTCCTAATCGCGTGCCATGTTGTGATTGAACTACAGCACACTCCCTTTGTGTAGTCCAGAGATAAAATACACTCTCTTCAGCAGAGTCTGAAACCCATCAGCACAAGATTCACAAATCTTGTATTCCAAAATACGCTCAGGCAACTAAGAGGCTGCACCTCCAAGCAGAAAACTGTATTGGAGTGTTGGTAACACAGACCTATAGCACGGAAACACATCAGTGCCTGTAAAAACAGCCACAATAGAACAGCAGTGCAAACTCCACCCTGTTTGGATTCTGCATCCATCCACACATTCTGCATATATCGCATCCTGGAATGCAAACGTGCAGTCAGAGTAGCTGGATGTGAGCACAAAAGCTGGCAAACATCCAACGCACTGAAGCAAAAAAGAAGCTCCTGGAAATTCTCTGCTGTACTGCAGCCACCCTCCTTCCAGTTTTCAGTCCAGATGATGCCCTTTTCAAAGGCTGCCTGTGTCACCTTTCAGATATTCACAAAGCAGTGCTACAGAGCAACACAAGGCACGTTCCCAGAAACGATCTGCTACTCCTGTTTTGTCTGCTTAGGTGAATCTGATGGTCACACCACCAGCTTTCCTGCAGGATTCTGGCACATGACAACCTTCTATGTTTGCCTCTATTGTGTGTTTGCAGCCAGACGTCCAAGACCCTGATCCTGAAGGATAAAACAATGGGCATGTGAAGCTTTAAACCGTGCAAAACAGAAAAAGCAGGAGATATTTTGCAAGGCAGAGTACTGCTACGTTTTCCAAATGTCTTTCCCTTAAAATTTTTTGCTGCTTTGGCATGTCTTTGTACTCAGATGCAGGTTAGCTACTGTTTTAAACATTCTTTTCAAGGGTGGAAAATTGGGTGTTTAATACTCCCCCAAAAAACCTTACAATAGCTGTAAACTTTAAATCCAACACTGTAGAAATGGACAGCATCTTACTGTTCTTCTACAGTCTGACAGAATTCAAAGAGCTGAGCACAGACAGCAGTTTTTGTTTAGCTTGCATTTTATGAGGACGAGAAGATGAAAATCACCTCTGCATAGCTACAAAAAAATGCAAATAGCAAAAAAGCTTGTCTATTGGCACTATCAGAAAATAGGCCAAAACCTGAATAAATATGAAAACTCATCTCTCTTTGTTTTAGATACTGCCCTTGTAGCTCAGATCACAGGCACATCAGATGTAGATGAAGACTTGCTTCCCACCTCTTCTCTATGGACAATTGAGAATTTTAATCTTCAACTACTGAATCCTGCTGCTAGTAAGAGGTTACACAAAATGATAACAGAAAAGCAAGAAGAATTAATGAAGTCTAAAACCCAATTATTTTGAATCCTCTGTCACTGCTTATAAATGCTTTATTTCTTACTACAATACACTAATCTTCTAGTGAAGCATAGCCCTGTAGGTGGCTGGTGGGTTGGAAACGTTATTCAAGTGAGATTAAGTGTACTTGGTAAAAAAATGTTGAAACGTTTGCCTTTCCTCTCTACCATATAAACAAAATTCCACATGGGGACAAAGTAAGCAATTCCCAGCTCTGTTCTGAAAAAGCAAAGCAGGAGTGATGTGACTCTCACTTTGATGGGACACCAACACGTCTTCTCCCACTTCTCAGGTTTAGTGTGTCAAAAAACCTTGTGCTGATGGAAGCCTGAAAGACTTCCATCAGCAAAAGTTTCTCATTTAGGGCACCAAGCTCAATCTAAACACCACGTTAAGACTTGGATTGCAGTCAGGAGAACCAAAGGTACCAAAGTGAGCTTGCTTTTAATGTTAAACATTTTACTTCACTGATTTTTGCACACCTGTTTGCCTACAAGATCCAGGAACTGATCTGTATGAAAGACTAGTCTAAACATGTAGGATAGCACATTAAGATCAAATCTGCACCGAGTAACAGTTGATGCTGAGGAACTGACAGCCACACTCTGTATGTGAAGGTAAAACGGAGGCGGTGTGACAGACAACGTGCAGTTTAGTCCCATGGACTGAATGTATAGTAGCTGTGTAGAATATATTCCAGTTTGCTTTCATCCCAATTTAATCCAACTCTCAAACTTCATTTTGTGGTGCTAAGCAAGGTACAGTAGGCAGGGGCAACCAGGAGCTTCACTTCAAAGCACCTTCCTGATGCAAGCTATAATGCTAATGTAGATACAACCACAACTACCGCAGTTCCTTCAAGAGTGTTAATGCTCTCTAGGCGGAAAATAAAGGCTAGAAGCCAACCGGCATTTCACATGGCAAGAGTGCTCCAGCTTGTTTCATTCAGCACCAAACCATCCTCTGGGTTTCCACTTTTATATTTCTGCTAAATCATCAGTAAGGGCTGTGTGGGGCTTGGTTCCTGACCAGCAAACTCCAGAGGGAGACACAGGGCTCGGTATAGCCATGTCTAGTAGAAGATGACAGAGGAACAAGATCAAGTACCTAAATATTTTCACAGACAGGAGGTACAGGGCAGAGAGATGAAAGAATACAGGATACCTACACATTCCCAGTAGAAAGTAAAAATGTCTGTTCTGAACTGCTGAAAGTAGAAGCAACACGGTCACGGCTTTGAGATGCCTTAAGGAGGAACATGGCCTCTAGTCATCCTCTGTACTTCTCAGGTTAAAAATGGGACTTTTGCTTTAAGTATCACATTTTATCTCGCATCTGATCTTCTCATTAAAAATGGTCCAGGCAAATAATGTTTTAAACATTTCTCTATGTGTGATTATTTCCAGTTGGCAGGTATAGCTAAATGATACCATGACTTGAAGGGAACTAATTTCAAATCATGTTTAGAACAGATCTGCTGAAGTGTTTTTTCACCATTGCAGAAAGGCCCTTTTCATCCATTGCCAATGTTTTCACAATGACATTTCACTGAGCATTCTTCTTTGGTCTGTCATAAAATTCACATGTAAGAGACATAAACGAAGCAATGAAGGGCACAAGTCTGCAAAGACTAGTTATTTAGGCTATATTTTAAGCAAATTGAAGACTGACTAATTACTCTGGGTGCCTTACTTGAATTACTTGCAAGGCCCTCATTTTCAAAGGGCCTGTAAAACAGACCCTTCTCAGGAATCACAAGTTTGGCCAGCCACACTTTGAAGAAAGCCAGTACAGAACATAATCTAATGCAGTATTTGCATACTTATCCACCTAAAGCAGGAGGCCACAAAGAAGTCAGGAACATTTTCTTCTGGGAAGTGTTAGTAAAAGGGCACAGTCACTGGGACACTAGTCTTTCACCCAAAAGCAAGTAAGTGTATTGGGTAGAACCACGTATACAAGTTCCCCAGGTAAAAATAAGAAGACAGGCATGATGTACTATATCCAGACAGGACAATCTTTCCTTTTTGATTTGGTAATAGAATTTTAAGTAGGGGTCCCTGAAACATCTTGAGTATGTCACTGCCTTCCAGAGAGCCACTTCAGCTGACAGAGTGCTGCTGACGGGTTCTCTTCATTTAGAGAGAGAGCTGACAGCCTAACCTTACGCCTTTAGCAAACTCTAAGTCACATCACTGTGTCATATTACAGTGTGCACGTCAGAAATAGAAGGACTGAGAAACTCCTCATTACTACACTGTCTTCAAATAAAGTTTGTGAAATGGGGGAGGGGAAAGTTTTTGAAAGAAGAAAACATATACCTGATCCATTGCCTTTAACTAAAGCTGTTAAGTGAAACTGAGATGACCTCAAAAATAAACACTTGCTCTTTGGTCTAGCTTAAAGTTGTTACCTGTAAGTTATCTAGTTCAGAGGTACCAAAGCATGACAGCACTATTTGTCAGATATCTTTTTGCATTTTGGGGGGAAGAAGGGGAATAAACCAAAAAAAAAATCCTTCTCCAACACTATCCTGACAGTGAATTTATTAAAGCTTGGTATTAGGGTACATCCTGTGCGTCCACCCAGACAAGTAGAAGTTCTCCGTCTGCAGATTTTGCCTTCCCCTGCAGGAAGGAGGCTGGCTGATGCCCACAGGGCTCTTTCTAGCTATGTTTTCCAGCTACATAAAGCATGGCCCCCTGGTTAACATCTTGTATGCACTGCTTGTTTTCACTCAGTTTCATGAAATATGTGCATACAAAGCTACAACTGCCTCAGAGGTCTGGGGAGCTGACAAACAAGAACAGAAACTGCAGAGGCAGGAAGCCTGTTAAAAGAGTGATTACCAGCATGTGTGAAGTATATAAGGCACATCTAACATAACGTGTTCTCCAGAAGACTGTTCTCCACTCTGATGAAATAAAAACATTGTTTTGGAGTACACTTACACTTGGAGCCATTACCCTCAGTATCAGAGGTGGCCTCATACCTAGAGTAACAACACTTCAAAAAGACCCAATTGGGTGGGACAGGGTGTGGCTCTTATATATGATGTTTTTCATGCAGAAACAGAGAATCCAATCTTTCAAATCATATGTGAAACCATTCTCCACTCAAAAAAAACACGCATAAAAACACGAAGACAGAGTTTAAGTGATACTTACGCGGCATGATCCCTTGGCTCACCAGCTCCTCCCGTGTGCGTCGCTGCTGGAGCTTCAACTGCAGCACTGCACGACAGCAGAGAGAGGGAAGAGAAGGAAACCCATCAGTGTAAGAAACAACTGAAGAGACATTCTCAAACGCATCTTGTTTTCTTCTTTGGGTGCCAAGCCACTAAGCGAGCAGCAGAACCAGGAGACCCCCCCTCCCACCCTGCAGCACTGCAATTGCAGAAGTGGCCTTCAGCAGTCAGGTTTCCGTATTCTGCTGCGGGCAACAGGCAGAGGAAGTTGCGCAGGGTCTTGGCAGGGTGATAAAAATCCGCAAAGCCAGGCTTGTTTCTCAATTCTTTCTAGAGCACCAACTTCTTTCCAAACCATTAATATTAAAAAACAAACAAAGAGAAACGCCGGCTGACAGTCCTCCAATAAACACAGAGTGACACCCCAGCTGCTAATGACTCCTGAAAACTCTAATTACCATGTGTAGATTAAATTGATATGACAAAATTATTGGTCATTACTCTAAATTACAAGGCTGATTTCCTTCCTCAACTCAGAAATTCACCTTCAGAAACACCTAATGAAAGTGAAATATCATGGATGTATCTAGAAGTGTCCTTGTGCCACAGCAAAAGGAATCCCTTATCACTAGTATTTTTTCCTGTTTATTTTAGAGTAATACAACTTATGCATTACCTGTATGAAATGCAATTATATTTTCCTAATGCAAATCTCTTGAATAGTCATAATTTCAACATTTAGATTATAACAGCAGTTTCCCTTTAAACTACACAATCAAAGCAATATTCTAGAGATTGTTCTTACAAAGACAGCTTCCATACAAAAGGAACCTTACAAAACCAAAGAAAAAAATCACATGTGTGGGCACACACACATGTGCACACACACACGTGCGCACGCTCACATCAATTTAGGACAACCTGAATGAACATCAATAGATAGTGAATCATGCCTGCAGTCAAGCCCAAGCCCCTAAGTACACTCAACACAAAATCTTATGGAATGAACATCATGGCATCTTCCCTGGTTTCATTTTAATTTCTCTGTAAAGCTTATGTCCATTGTACAGTCCACATAAGAGAAGTCCACACAAACATAGTAGAATCACCAAAGATAGTCCTTGTATAGTCCAACTATACAATTTTATTATCACCCTTATGCTTCCTTTCTCAAGGAGTTTTCTTGTCCAATGCATTCATTTCATACATTATATCCAAATTTACACTCCCTAAAGCAGGGATCAGAAAATGCAAGGAGAAGATGCCACTTCATCTACTTAAGCACATTATCACGTTTTACCTGTTCCTTTCAACCTCCTATTTGCAGTTTGCATTTGACTAAGACACATCTTCCAGTAAGGGTTCTGGTCTTCATATGAAGTTAACAACAGGTCCATCTCTTCCTTGGTTGGTTGCACAGTGGCTAATCACCATCACTTAAATGCACACTTAATTTTTCACTTGGATTTTTCTAGCTTCCACTTCCCTTGGATCTTGATGTACCTTTATTTGAAAGGTTTATAACAGTGAGAATATATTTCCTACCTGTGGAGGTACTTCTGTACACACAGTGCAATCAAGTTACCTCTCTTTCTTAAGCCAAACTAGGATTTCTTAATATATGCACCCTGGGCAGGAAACTACTTCCTTTATTACAGAGGAGGAAGAGAAGGAGGCAGGGTGTACAGAGCACCGTGCTAATTCTGCGTGGGATCAGCCAAGAGCCAAAGAAAAGAGGAGGGAACACAGCAGGGAAGGAACAGGCCCTTCGTTTGGCTGTGAAACTGCAAACAGAAGTGGTAGTTCCAGACTCTTCCTCCTCCCCAGCATGCGATCGCACTTCTACTTTGGTGCTAGCATGAGGGTTAATAGTCTCATGGCTGGCCTGTTCTCAGAGCTCTTCATTTGCTGGATTCGTTTTGAGGTGATCCAAACCCGGATCAGGTGATGACACATCTACACAACCACTTCATCCAAGAGCTTGCTGCTACAGTGTCAAACCTCTCACTCCCCACATCATCTCTCATGTTCCTGATTGGTGGCTGGACTCACTGACACGACAGAGACCACAGCCCAGCCAAAAGAGGGAAGAATTCTCTGTCTCATTAGTGAGTTGAGGAGGACGACTGTATAGCCAGGTATTTGCTAACACTAACATCAGGTGGGAGCAAGACTTCATCCTTCCAGCAGCAGTATGCCACTAAGTGATTTCAGCCCAATTAGGTAACGGCACATTAAATTTCTCACACTCTGGCATTATTTCCACTAGTGAGCCATTTCGGGGACTCATTTTCATACCCTAAATTAGCACATCTCACTAAATGTATACTGACAAAGCACAGACCTATAGCATCAGGTCCATCTCCCCAGCTTTAAGTGCAGATCATCTCGTTAGTACTTATGTCTTCCCACTTACACATCTCGCAATGTATGTTAGCCCTTTTTGCCACTTTGCTATTTACTTGCTATTACCATCTGCTTTACCTCCCATTTCCAACTACACCTACTATTTACCTTTCACCTCCTGGAGTCGGGGATTGCTCCTTGGTGTCCCCATCTGTATTTATGCACATTTTGCCCAGCTGTCTCAGTTTGCCTAAATGATCTAAACCAGTTTTTAATGTCATTATTTATACCTCCACTGATCTTTGTTCCGTCCACACCATTACCATCTTGCATTTGTTTCCAGACCACACTGGGCTGACCCAACTAGAAACGCTTTTCTGCTTGCTTTGATTACAGTCAGTACTTAACTTAAGCAGTACTTAATTCAATTCAAAGATACTCTTTAAAATTAAAATACCCCAGACTACTAAGTTAAAGACCTTATAGAAGTCTGTTACACCCAGACAAAACCCCTAGCAACCAGATTTCATGTAACCAAACAACAAAATCGCGTTTGAGCAGACCTGTTTTCACAAATTGAAAAGCTGAATAGCATGACTATACTGCTTTTCTTATACCACCTAAATTCTTTATCAGATTTTCCATATTTTTTTTTTCCTGGAACTGATACCAGATTAGCCACTCTTTACTCACTCACCCTTTTTCAATAGTGATGCAAAATGTTACTGGTCTTTCGCTCTTCTGAAGTCTCCCTGCTGTTCCCAGATTTATTAGAAATCAGCCTCAGCCAGACAGCCAACAACTTCATCAAGTGACTTAAAACTCCCTTCCTGACTTCAGCTTCCCTTATGAATTTTCTAAATATATCATATTTCTATGTCAGTTACCATCTACTACTGCTTTTCTCTACCCATTATATGCACCTTTTATTTTTAAACACTATGTCCCTTCACAGCAAGAAACTAGCAACTGTCAAGAGGACTAAACTGCAGAAGAGGGAAAAGGTCATTTTCAGGATACTTTTAATAGGCACCAAGTAATTCCTGGGATTTAAGAATGTATATAGATACATATTAAGCATGAGTTATAATCAGCACACGAGGCACTTTTTTCCCAATACAGCTTCATTTTAGTAGCAGGGAGGGATTTAGTAGCAGGGCAAAAAGGATTACTTCAGTTCACTCCTGAATTCATTTTGGCTTAAATAAGTACTTGGAGTTCCCAACACCATTTCATATATTTAGGAGATCACCTGTTTACATGTGCAAGTGTGTGAATCCTATATATAGATTAACAGATGTCCCAAGAGCCAATCCAAGGCTGTTGTACATGGAGCTCAGCCAAAGGTCTAGAATGACCAGAGAAATTCAGTTACTCAAAGACAGACTGGAGTGTAAGTTTTTAAATCACAAACCAACAAATTCATTTCCTTTATCCCTTTACTTAATTTTTAAATTAATTTTTAAATTAGGAATAGTCCAGGTCATATAAAAGGAGAGCTATCTCCGCTGGCTAGAATATAAATTCCATAATGGTACCCTTCTACCCACCTCTTTCATTCAACTCTTGTCACAGTCTATGCAACATTTTGCAGTTTTTGTATACTTTCCCACCCAAAAATGGGCATAATTTATTTATTTCACAAGTATGAAAACTTCTGAAACATAGTTTCAAGTTTGAAAGCTTGAACAGGGCTTTTATATCTCTAATGAACTGTTCCAAGAATTAGTACAACATTCCAGGGAAATCTGAGCTGGCATAGAGGACTGATGCCGGCAGTTTAAGAGGAGGGATAGAGAAGAATTGAGGGGACGGGGGTATACTAAGAGACAAATGACATTGTGATACAGCCACTATCAACAGAGTTACACTGTGAAATAGAGCAATTCATGATTCTTTTTTGTTTGTCTTACCATAGAACTGTCTTAAGAGGGAACCCACCGGCATATTCCAAGACCAGAGCTCACTCCTGCCTACTCATGGCTGGGAGCAGCTCAGAGCAGGATACGCCTCATACACCGAGGCTGCACCCATATGGACACTTTAAGGACACTTAGAACTCTAGTCACAGTACAGGGGTGCATTAGTAGTAAGCAATAGCAAGAACAAATATTTACGATGAGCTAAAGTGTTTTTTGCAGCTCGTCATCTAAATCTGCACCAGCGTGCCTGCCCTTACTCATACATACCTGAAAGCTCTTCTATTTCTAAACTATACTTTGTGTTTAATAGTGTGACTGGAACTGCTACAGAAACTAGACTGCAGCCTCTGCACCTCAGCATCTTAAGGCACAAAAAAAAATAATCTCATCTTAGAGACATACCAAGATGGGTTTATGACAAATTAAAAAAATATTCTGCATTTCCTGTTTTTTGAGAACTAGCGAAGAGAAGCACACAGCTCTGAACTGCAGCCTGTGGTGAGGCCCCGTGCATGGTATGTTGAATACAGACTTACTGCCAAAGGGACTCTGTGCTCACATTTCTACAAAACCTTTTCTTCCAAGAAATCCCAAGTGATACTCAAGGTCGCCCAACCAAGGTAATGATTAAGCACAGCCATATGGTAGATTACAACAGACAGCACAAGCAGTAGCACAGAAAAGAGGGAGGAAGGCTGCTTGTAGCCAAAAGAAACCCTTCAGAGGGGCTGAGGGAGGCAGAGCTCCCTGGAATCTGGGCTACGATACCTGTGCAAAA